CCTCTGCCCACCCCCTGCGGAGTCGGGGGGTGTCCCAACCTCAAGCGGTACTCCTGCTCCCTCACTGGGGTGCCGCTCTGCAGCCTGGCCTGCTACAAGAAGAACTTGCTGCTCCAGCAGGTGGCAGCCTAAGCGCCACCATCCGTGCCAGAGGAGGACCACCTTGGGCGCCTGGAACTCCTCTAGGAATGCCACCTCTGTGATCCAAAGGAGGATGCGGAAGACCTTCACCCCCAGCCCTGATGTGGAGATGGCCTTGGGCAGGCTGTTTTGATGGTCCTGAACATGCTTGTCTCTCTGTAGTGGACAGACATGGGTGTCGCGGCCTTTGCTGACTGGGCTGGCAAAGTGACGGAGGGTGGCAAGGCAACTGGCCCTGTGGCAGCAAGAGACAAGTGCCTCTCTCATGTGGGACCCAGCGGAGACTGCACTCCTGGCAGCTGCTCTTGACTGAGAAGACGTAGCATCGCTCCCTTTGCAGCTACTGTGGTGGCACAGGAAATAGACGTGGGCAGGAGGCGACCTCAGTAGTCTTGCCCTGGATCTTTGGGGAAGGAGAAAAAACCCTTCCCAGTTGTAAAACGGAGCCTCTCTTTTCTTTTCCCGCCTGGAAGGAACCAGGTATTTGATCTCGGGTTCCTTGCCCAGATCTACTTTGCCCTAGAGAAACATGGTTCCACTGGTGATTTATTTATTTATTGTAATAAAAGACACAGCAAAGCAAGATATCCAGAAGTGAATAAGGCTGGTCTCATTATTTGCTTGTTTTTTCATCCCTTCCTTTAACAGTGAGCTCTAGAGGTGCTAGTGGTGGGGGCAGCCAGACCGGGGGGGGGGGAGAGACACTGGTGTGGTTTTCACAAACCATTTTAGAAAGGACTGCTGCAGGGATGCCATGTCTCTCGTCTCCCCTTCTCATGTTAGGTCATGTAACTAAGTGCACAGTCTATTTAGAGCCAAGCACGGAGGTCCAGGCTGCAAATCTGGGAAGAAGCAGTGAAATCCGTCTCTCTCAGGAATCTGGTTGGCTACTGTGAGAAGAAAATACTGTATTCAACAAGCCCTTGGCCTGATCCAGCTGCAAGGTTCTTATATTCCAACGGACTGTGTATACATTTAATAATAATAATAATAATAATAATAATAATAATAATAATAATAATAAAATAGCAGCAGCGGGGCAAAATGGAAAGAGGTGTGTTAGAAGGCAACCAAATTTCAAACTACCTGTCTTGGGATGTGCTCACCTGCATCTTTCTAGCACAACAACTAACACACATTACAGACCTACACAACTGATGGCAGAGACACCCACCTTGAGTGTGCAGTTCACGCAGTGTCCCTCAATGACCCAACTCCAAAATTTGCTTAGATTTTAAGCACTACTGTGAGAGTCTGAAGTAGATAATACTTTAAAATGCACTCCTTAAACCACAATAAAGTAACCAGTCTGCCTGGCAGCATGAACTAATAACCACATGTCACGTGAATTGGGTAATAGCACATTTTAATAGAAATTGTTAATAGGTTTAATTTTGTGTTTGCAAAATGAATGATTCTGTCCTTCAGTTTTCAAGACACACTGCTCTTTATTGTTGTCTATCCTTAACATACACTTCAAGGCTTCAAAGCACGCACATTTCAGTAATCCTTGTGATAGCCCGTTTAAGGCAGACCAGTATTACAGTGATTGTTAATACTGATGTTACTGTTTTTGCATTGTATTTTCCGCTGTGTAATGACCAAGCTATGCTTCAAGAGGTGGCCTATGTACAAAATGTTCTTGATAATTAAATACCCAAGGCCATGTTTACACTTCCGTGGCACGGTGACCAATGCTCTTTGCCAAGAAAAGCTGGATTTGAAAGTGCTTTGGCAGTCACAGGAATTACACAGAATGATGTCACCCCGAGTGGCGCTTGAAGGCCAAACGGCTTAAACCATCGCTGTAACAAAATGAGCCCACTGCTTTTGTTTCTTGGATTGCTGACAGTTTGTCGTCGCTGTCTAAGTTGGCAGGGCAATCTTTGCAGATACAGTGGTACCTCGGGTTAAGTACTTAATTCGTTCTGGAGGTCCGTACTTAACCTGAAACTGATTTTAACCTGAAGCACTATTTCTGGGTTAGCAGAAGCGTATGTAACCCGAGGTACCACTGTCTGCTTTGTAGATCCAAAACAAAAACCCTTCTGCACCGCCATAGGTTGCCCGCTCGCCAGCTGCATTCCTGCTGAGACACTTTCCGACCTGCCTGAGGCATTGCATCCCAAGTGAGGATGAGGAGGTCCCAGGAAGGAGGGAAAGAACTTAAAATAATGAAGACTTCCTGTATCATCATCTTCAATTATTTCCTTCCGACACGATGCAAAGGAGCCGACATGCTCCATCCCTCTTTCGGGGCAATTCTGTGCAGATGCCAGGCTGCTGTGATGGAGTCCCAGGCGGTTTTGGGCACAGGAGCAGCTCAGCCCCCCTCCCACTACCCTTGCGGTGCTCAGACCCAGTGCTGGATTTACTTATAAGCTAAACACGCGGGTGGCGCTGTGGGTAAAAGCCTCAGCGCCTAGGGCTTGCCAATTGAAAGGTCAGCGGTTCGAATCCCCGCAGTGGGGTGTGCTCCCGTTCAGTCCCAGCGCCTGCCAACCTAGCAGTTCGAAAGCACCCCCGGGTGCAAGTAGATAAATAGGGGCCACTTACTGGCGGGAAGGTAAACGGCGTTTCCGTGTGCTGCTCTGGCTCGCCAGAGTAGCGATGTCACGCTGGCCACGTGACCCGGAAGTGTCTTCGGACAGCGCTGGCCCCCGGCCTCTTAAGTGAGATGGGCGCACAACCCCAGAGTCTGTCAAGACTGGCCCGTACGGGCAGGGGTACCTTTACCTTTTACCTTAAACAAGCTATAGCTTAGGGCCCCACTCTCTTGGGGGGCCCCAAAAAATTCTTAATTGTATTTCACTATTAATATAAGTAATTGTATTACAGCTCAACAATTTGATAAAATACATATTTTGTTATGTGCAAATGGCTTGAGATACCTATTAGGTCTATAAATGACCATATAGCATCTATTCTACACAAAAAACAGTGACAATTTGTTGACAAAGGACAGCTGGACATATCAGGCCCCATTACCTTCAGGAGCTGAGGGTCTCATCAAACCTGAACCTGGCCCTGCTCAGACCCCCGACATGGGCCGGCGGAAGGAAACCAGGCAGAGGGCCTTCTCAGTGGTGGCACCCGCCCTGTGGAACACCCTCCCACCAGATGTCAAAGAAATAAACTGACTTTTTTTTAGAAGACATCTGAAAGCAGTTTTTAATGTTTAATGCTGTATTTTGTTTTTAATATTTGGTGGGAAGCTGCCCAGAGTGGCTGGGGAAACCCAGCCAGTTGAGCGGAGTAGAAATAATAAATTATTATAATGATGATGAGACAGGGAGAAATACTTTTGTCACTCCGCCTTCCCCATGCATCATTTTATACAGTTCTGTCATGTCACCACTTGCATTTTCTCCCAGGGAGCTTTTAATATTTGATGAATTATTATATTTTAATATTTTGCTGGAAGCCGCCCAGAGTGGCTGGGGAAACCCAGCTAGATTCACGGCCTAGGACCCTCGTACCTATGGGACCGCCTCTCCCGGTATGCCCCACGGAGAGCCTCAAGGTCCATCAATAGCCAACACCCTAGAGGTCCCGGGCCCTAAGGAAGTTAGATTGGCTTCAACCAGAGCCAGGGCCTTCTCAACACTGGCTCCGGCCTGGTGGGACGCTCTGTCTCATGAGACCAGGGCCCTGCAGGATCTGATTTCTTTCCGCAGGGCCTGTAAGACAGAGTTGTTCCGCCTGGCCTTTGGCTTGGAGCCAATTTGATTCCCTCCCTCCCTCTCTTTCTTTTTTCCTTTCCTTCCCCTCCTGCGATGAGGCTGCATTTTAATATTTTAATGTTGTATTTTAATCTTGTTTTTAAGTTGTATTCATTCAACTTGTTTTTATTATTGTTTGTTAATTAATATTAATAATAATATTAATAATTCTCCTCATCAGGATGGGGCTGCGCCGGACCCTCAGGCCTGGTCTGCTCCTTATCCAGGGAGGATCCGAGGAGCGGCTGCCTGACAGGCCTCGCCCGGTTCCCTTCCTCCTTGGAGGCCCGGAAGGCCCAGTTCCCCCTTCAGCCTCCACAGGAAGCTCCACCACAGCCGAGCCACCTTCCCCGGAAGCCGCTTCCCGGCTCCCTGGCAGCCCCTCCGCCCGCCCGCCTGTCCCCTACTCCGCCCGGCTCCGGCTCCCTCTCAGGCGCCCGCCTCAAGCGCTCCTCCCCGCGACCATTCCTTCTACTCGAGGGAGGCTCCACTTCCGGCTCCAGGCCCAGCGCATCCTCTCGCGAGATCTCTCCCACAGACGAGAGCACAGCTCCCCTCCCCCTCTGCGCAGGCGCTGAAACGCTCCTTTCGCATCTTCACGCGCTCCCCCGAGGGCGAGAGTCGCCGCTTCCCATTGGCCGGCTCCCTCAACACGCGCCTCCCCCTCCGCCTCGCATTGGCCGAGAGCGCCCCGGGGGAGGGCCCGGCGAGGGCTTGTTTCCGCAAAGCTCCGCCGCCCCTTGGACGGGCCCTGCTGTCCATCGGAGCTTCGGCCGGCCCCTCGCGCTGCCTTTGGCCAGCGCCGCTGCCAGTTACGAAGGCGGCCTCCGCTCGTTGGCTGGAGGCCCCTTCCGTCGCCGCGGAGGGCGGTCCCCTGGCCTCTTTGTCTGCTGTTGTTATGGGAGAAGCCGGCCTCCGATTGGTCCCCGCCGGACGGAGGCGCGGGCGCCGGTTGGCCGCCAGCCCCGCGGAAGGCGCCGATTGGAGGGCCGGGCGCGGCGGGGCGGGAGCCGCGGCCCCGAGTGATGGCGGCGGGGCCGGCGGCCTGGGCTGAGGCGGCGGAGCCGGAGCCCCGGGAGGCCTGGGCGGCCTTGGCGGGCGGCGGCAATGAGGGCCGGAGGCGCCGCGGGGCAGGAGGCGGCGGCAGCGGCCGGGCCCCAGGAGGCCTTGGCGGCGGCGTCTGGGCTCCCGCGAAGGCTGTAGGCGGCTGAGGCGGCGGCGGCGGCGGCGCCATGGAGCGGAGGAGGCCTCCGCCCGGGAGGGAAGCCCAGGCCGGCTGGGCCGCCTTGCTGGGCCGGGAGCGGCAGGTAGGGGGCCGCGGGGGGAGCGGCGAGGCCGCCCGGGACGCCGGGCCCCCGGAACAGGTGTAGTGCCTCTGGCCCGGGAGGCTCCACCGGGAGGGGTCCATAGCTGTCAAGCGTCCACGTCCCGCTTCTGGATGAGGGCCCTTAAAGAAGCTCCTGAATGGGGCCCTTTCTACGTCCAGCTGTCCTTTGTCCACAAGAAATTGTGGCTGTTTTTTGTGTTGAAGAGATGCTCTATGGCAGTTGATGGACCTCATAGGGATCTCAAGCCATTTGCACATAAACAAAATATGTATTTTATCAAAGTCACTCTTGATCCCTTATTTTGGCTGCTGGTCCCTTATTTTCGAGCCTGCTCGATTTTCAAATCTGTAAGTTGACAGCTATGGAGGGATCTGCAGGCTTGGCGCGAGGGGCATCGGGCAGAGCAGCCTCTTCCCAGGGGCGGCCAAACAGGTCCTCATCTTCCTCATCATCTTCAGTGCCCCCTCCCCCCTTAATTTCCATCTTCATCCTTTTATTTGTAGGCTGCCTTTCCATAGTTAAAACAGTGCTGGAGGCGGCTCACCACATGACAAGATTTATACCAACATAACAAAAGACATAAGCAATAAATAGGGCACATCAAAAGGGGCACAACCAAATGGAAAACCAATTTCCGCATCAATCATAAAATCTAAAGCTAAAATTACAGTATTAATATCAATTGCAATTTAAAATAACATCCATTAAAAAATAAAAACAATATTTAAAAAGGAGCCCTCTCTGTCGAGCAGCAGGTGCCCCTTACAGGGAACCCGGGAGCAGGGCCCTCCTGAGATTTCCAGAAGCTGGGATGCAGAAGCCTGGCTCCCTCCAGCTGTGGGATGCAGAGCAGAGGCATCGCGGCTGTTGGATTCGTGGACAGACCTCTCCTCCTTCCGGAATTTGCCTAGCCTCCATTTGAAGCCAGGTCAATGGCTGTTGCTGCCTCCTGTGGCAGCGAGTTCCATAGGATATGTGGTGCATGAAGGAGGACCGAATCTACAGATATAGGGTGGCATGCAATGGGGGGGGCGCAACAGCTTCATAGGATGTCAATTGGAGTTCCATTATCATTATTTATTATTTCATTAATTAAATGTCTATGCCACCCTTCATCCGAAGATCACAGGGCTGTCTACAATATAGAAGCACAATATAGAAGCACATACCATAGTAACAAACAAAAACCAATACCCTCCCCCCCATGTTTTAAAAGCCCATACTTTGTTTAGTTAGCCAAAGGCCTGGAAGAGGAGGAATGTTTTCGACTGGGGCATAAGATATGTAACAAGGGCGCCAGGCAGGCTTCCCCAGGGAGAGCATTCCACAAGCGGGGAGCCACCACAGAAAAGGCCCGTTCTTGTGTTGCTCCCCTCCGGACCTCTCATGGAGGAGGCACACAAAGAAGGACCTCAGATGATGTTTGCAGGTCCAGGTCAGTTCAGGTGGCGAGAGTCAGACCATGGGGTTTGGCGGTCCTGAGCCATTTAAGGCATTACAGGTTAAAACCAGCCCAGAAACTTACTGGCATAAAGGTTCTCGTGTTAACTGCAATTAATCCAGAATGCGGCAGCCAGACTGGGGACTGGGAGTGGAGTGAAAGACCTACATTGGCTCCCAATACGTTTCTGAGCACAATTCAAAGTGTTGGTGCTGACCTTGAAAGCCCTAAACGGCCTCGGTCCAGTATACCTGAAGGAGCGTCTCCACCCCCATTGTTCTGCCCGGACGCTGAGGTCCAGCTCCGAGGGCCTTCTGGCGGTTCCCTCCCTGCGAGAAGCCAAGTTACAGGGAACCAGGCAGAGGGCCTTCTCGGTGGTGGCGCCTGCCCTGTGGAATGCCCTCCCATCAGATGTCAAAGAAATAAGCAACTATCTGACATTTAGAAGACATCTGAAAGCAGTTTTTAATGCTTAATGCTGTATTGTGTTTTTAATATTTGGTTGGAAGCTGCCCAGAGTGGCTGGGGAAACCCAGCCAGATGGGCGGGGTATAAATAATAAATTATGATGATGATGAGACAGGGAGAAATACTTTTCTCTCTCCGCCTTCCCCATGCATCATTTTATACAGTTCTCTCATGTCACCTCTTGCCTTTCCGGTGCCCTTTTCCTGAACCTTTCCCTCTTTGTCCCCTCCTCCTCTCTGGTCCAGGCGCGCGAGTTCTGCCCCGGGGTGAACGACCAGCCGTACGTGTGCGAGACGGGTCACTGCTGCGGGGAGACGGGCTGCTGCATCTACTACTACGAGCTCTGGTGTGAGTAGCAGGGAAGGAGGAAGAGGCCTCTGTCTCACAGCAGCGTGGGAAGCTGCCTTACGTTGAGCCGGATCCATTGACCCATCTAGCTCAGGAAACCCAACACTGATTAGCAGCAACGCCCAAGATTTCAGGCCGGGAGGCTGTCCCAGTCTGACATTGAGGATTCAGCATGGGGCCCTCTTGCTTGGAAAACCAGATGCTCAGCCACTGAACTCTGGTTTTCCTCAAAGAAAATTCTAGTTCTCATGATTCCATATAAAAGGCTGTATTTAACAGAAACCTTATGCCAAGTGAGACCTGTTGCGCAGCTCAGTATTGCTTGTGTGTTATTTCTTTAGCGCCTCTGCCTTGACGTCCCTGTCGGCCTCCCCAAGGTTCTCTTCAGGCAAACAAGCTCCCCAAGGGGCCGACATACAATCCGAACAAGGCAGCCTCTACTCCCACAGGCTGACTGTCTTTCTTTTAAATAAACAGACACACAGGAAAGGAGACAGGGAGGAAACAAGAATCAAAACTCAGCAAATCAACAGCTTTCTATGTTGTCTACGCTGACTGGCAGCTGTGGCTCGTAACCTTAAAATAATGCAGGATTCTAGTCCCCATGATTCTGAACAGGCTGTATTGAACAGCTGCCTTCTCCTGAGAGAGAGAGCCTTGGTCCGTCCAGCTCAGAATTGTCTACACACTGGCAGGCAGCAGCAGCAGCTGTCTCTCCCCAAACTACCTAGGAGAGGAGGGCCAGAGTGGCCTGTTTCCTCCACAGCTGACCTTCCTCCTTTTCGCCCCTTCCCTGGCAGGGTTCTGGCTCCTGTGGACTGTCCTGATCCTCTTCAGCTGCTGCTGCGCCTACAGGCACCGCCGGGCCAAACTGCGCCTCCAGCAGCAGCAGCGGCAGCGGGAGATCAACCTCATTGCCTACCACGGTGCCTGCAACTATCCCCCGTCCATGATGGATCTCAGTGAGTGCCTTTTCTCTTGGGCTCTGCCTCGCCCGGCCCCTGCGGGGACAGCGGGTGAGGCAGTGCCACGGGGCTGGGAGGGAGGGGAGCAAAAAGGGAGGGCAGCAGGGGCCATTGGCACCCTGAGCCAATATCCCCAGAGGTCTTAGGTCCTGCAGCCAGAGCCTGTTTCTCAAACGAGACTCTGGGACTGGCTGGCAGGCCTCTGGGCCACCCCTTTGCCTGCTGATTAAAGGCAGTTGGGAGACAGAGGAGTTCAGGGGAAGGAAGGCCCCCCTCTCTGAGGAAAAAGGGGTTTAAGGATAACCAGTAGCAATAATAAATATTAAGAGTGATAAATAGGGAATAGACAGGAATGGGATAAGAGAGGAAGGTTGTTACAGGAGCAAAAAAACAAATACAGAATCAAAGGACAAAGGGTGAAAGAAACTAACAGGGATTTGTGAGGGGCAGAGGTGCAAGTTAAATGCAGAAGAAGTGGAGAATAAATTACAGAAAATACTTTGTGAGGCATGTGGGGTGGGAAAGGAAAAATATACAAGAAGATGGCTTCTCCACTTGGATCAACACATTGTGGAGCTTGTCATTAAAACTCCAGAGAAAATGCCCTTAGCTGGAGGAACTGTAGACTTCCTTGCTACAAGGAAAACACATGGCAAAGAATTCTGCCATCTCCAAAGATGGATTAGGTATTGATAGAAAGCAGGGTCAGGAATTGGCCACTGATGGTGCCAAATGCTGCCTCACCTGCTACCATTTTGGAACCGGTTCTGGCCCTTCCCCGCCCTGTTGTGGCTGGTGGGCCTCAGACATTTAAAGCCGGCAGCTAAGGCTTGTGAACTAGGGGACTGGAAGAGATTGGGTCAACTAGGCCAGAACATCTAGTTCTGGATGTTTTTTGCTTAAATCATATCCAGCCGATGCTGTTTTAAGGAGAAGTGTTGAGGGAGGAAACCTCCAGAGCCAGCAGATGAGCCTGTCAGTGCCCCTCTGTTGATGTGAAGGCGGCAACTTTTTTGTCAGTTTCAGAACTTGGCACACACCCCTTAGACTGCAGAACTTTTACTGAACTACAACTCCCGTCATCCCTGACTATTGGCCATGCTGGCTGGGGCTGATGGTGGTTGGAGGCCACCAACATTCAGCAGCCTACAGGCCAGCGACCCCTAATCTACGCTCGCTGGCAGGGCCTCTCCAGGTCTTCTACAACCCAGCGGTGCCAGCCCTCGAGCCCAGAAGCTGTGGCACGCAGAGCAGTTTGTTTTGCCACTTAATAATAATAATTTATTATTTGTACCCCGCCCATCTGGCTGGGTTTCCCCCAGCCACTCTGGGCGGCTCCCAACAGAATAAAACATTGAACATTAAAAACTTCCCTAAACAGAGCTGCCTTCAGATGTCTTCTAAATGTCAGGTAGTTGTTTATCTCTTTGACATCTGATGAGAGGGCGTTCCACAGGGCGGGCGCCACTACCAAGAAGGCCCTCTGCCTGGTTCCCTGTAGCTTTGCTTCTCACAGTGAGGGAACCACCAGAAGGCCCTCGGAGCTGGACCGAGGCCATTTAGGGCTTTCAAGGTCAACACCAACACTTTGAATTGTGCTCAGAAATGTACTGGGAGCCAATGTAGGTCTTTCAAGACTGGTGTTATGTGGTCCCAGTGGCCGCTCCCAGTCACCAGTCTAGCTGCCGCATTCTGGATTAATTGCAGTTTCCGGGTCACCTTCAAAGGTAGCCCCACATAGAGCGCATGGCAGTAGTCCAAGCGGGAGATAACCAGAGCATGCACCACTCTGGCCAGACAGTCTGCGGGCAGGTAGGGTCTCAGCCTGCGTACCAGGTGGAGCTGGTAAACAGCTGCCCTGGATACAGAATTGACCTGTGCCTCCATGGACACCTGTGAGTCCAAAATGACTCCCAGGCTGCGCCACCCCTTCCCGCTGATCCAGCTCTCAGACGTCCATCTGCTTCTGCAGTCCTGGGTGGTTCTCAGCCGGTCTCTCTGCCCTCCTCCCCACCTTCTCCTTCTGCAGGGATGCTGGCTTCCTTCAAGCTGCCTGCCTACGAAGAGGTGGCCCATCGCCCGACCACCCCGCCACCCCCCTACAGTGCCATCCTGGGAGGCTCGGCCAGCCGCCTGGGCTCCAGCACGCTGACTCTGACGGGCAGCTCGGAGAACTATACCAGCTGCTCTTGTGAGTCCAGCTGCCTGACGTCCCCCAGCAGCACCTCTCTGTCGGCCACGGAGGCCAGCACCCCCAGCGAGGGCGAGGCGGATGCCGAAGGGGCCGGCGGGGGCAGCAGCAGCCCGGGGGGCAGCTGGGAGCTGGCGGGCAAGCTGGCGCCCTGCCCCGCGCCCCCCAAGCACGCCCTCTTCTCCTCCAGCGTGGAGCTCTTCGAAGGCGACTCCCGGCGAGTCTCGGACAGCGACGAAGGGCCCGACGACGAGGGCGAGCACTTCCGCCACCGCCGGCTGACGGGCGACTCGGGGATCGAGGTGGGGCGCGGGCAGGACGAGGAGGAGGCCGCTGGCGAGGACAGCGAGGAGGAGGCGGCCCACCTGCTGGCCAAAGGGGTCCCCTGCTCTCCCCCCGGCAGCGAGGCCCAGAGCCTGTGTGCAGGGCAGGCGGAAGGCGACCCCGAAGAACTGGCCGCCTCCTCGCCTACGTTGCCTGTCTGAAGGGCGCCTGCCCTGCTTGTCTGAATTCCCCTCCCTGCTTTACGGGGACGGCCCTTTCCTGACCCCCGGGACTCCGCCGCTGCCGCCCTCCTGGCGCCCGGCAGCAGGAGGCGGGCAGGAAGGGCTTCTGCGCCCTGCAGTTCACTGTGGAGAATTACCGCCTTAGCACCAACACTGCCCTCTGCCCATAGCCAGATCTCACGCTCTGTTTCTTGTTTCCCTGCCTAGGCAGTCCGTAGTGCGCCCCTCAAGCTCTCTTCCAGCTTTGTGACCAAAGGTCTGCTCCCCCTCTTGCCCTCTGGGTTGGGTGCTTCCGTAGGAGCCTTCTGTGGACTTGTACAGTGCCCTGTCTCTTGGGGGGGGGTGGGCCTGGACTACCTGCCGGACCCCGACTACCGTAGCAGTTGTGTGTGTGCGCGTGTGTGTATGTCTCCCGCTGCGCTCCATAACCTTTGGTGACAAGGTGCAGCTCTTCCTCTGGGTGGGGGCTGCCTCCTTCCTTCCCTCCCCCTGGGGATTTGCACTGGGTTTGGGGTTTGCTGGTTGCATGGATGAAACGGTTCTTGCCGACACCTGCTCCTTGCTCCGACCAAGCTGGGCTGGGAGTGGGGAGCTGGCCTTCCCTGGGCAGGCTGCTTGAAGCAGCTTGTTGGGTCCTTACCATACCAGTGCCTGGTAGCCTTGGGAGTGGAGGCGCTTCTCCCCGTGTGCTGGGGGGGGCAGCAGTGCGTGCTTATTATTAAAGAGATGTGGACACCCCTGGCTCAGAGACTCTTCTTTGGAGTGTGTGTTGCAGGGCTGTCTGTGTGGCAGCTCTCCTTTGTGGAAACTTGCGTGCTGAGGCAGCTGCATCTTGTAAGTTCAGCCCCCTTTTAGAGTTGCAAGTGTGGGCTGGGATAAGCAATTTCCCCCCTGTCTCCATAGGTCAGGAGATGCGTAACTGGGGCAGGGAAGGGGGTCTTGGCTCATTATGGCCCATCCTCCTGTCTCAGCAAAGGCCCTGTAACCTGAATCCAGTAGCTTTTTATTTTTTTAGCCTCTGATGAAGGCACACATTCTTTCTGAATTTACTTCCTTGGCATTTGATAAGTTAATTGGGGTTTTGTTCTTAGAAGGAGTGCTGTAGTGGCTCCCATTTTTTAACTGCTATCCTTGTATTTAGATGAGAACAGCCAGCACAAATGCCAAAGGGTCTGCGCTCCCCCCCCCCTTTTGTCTAATCTAAACACAGCCCCCTTAAGACTTGCAGCATTCTTCTGTGTCCTGACTTACCCACCTCTGTCTGAGCTTCAGTGCCCAGGACTGGACCTGTCACTCCCAGCTGACATCTGAGTGTGTCTTGGAAGCAAACTTAACTGCTTGCTCTTTAGAGCTGTAGCACTGTACTTGATTTCTCCCCCTGAAGCGCACATGCTTAGCTTATACCTCCATTTCTTCAGTAAGAATCACACTAGCGAGCTCCAAACATCAGACATGCCTCTTGCAACAACTCCTTAAGGCTGGATAGCTCAGCTGGCCAGAGCATGGTTCTGCTAACGCCAAGGTTGCAGGTTCATTCCCTATATGGGACAGCTGCATAGTCCTGCCTTGCAGGGGTTGGACTAGATGATCCTTAGGGTCTCTTCCAACTCTCATGCTTCTATGAAGTAGTTTTCTTCTGTCTGTTGCCCTCCATATTCTGCTGGCCCTCAGCTCCCATCAACCCAAACTTTTAAATCATTCATTTGTGTAGCCTGTCTTTCAGCTAAGGAATTCACGGAGAGTGTGACTGAGAATCTACAAGTTGTTACTCTTGCAAAACTCCTTTTGAGAGCTGATTTTTTATTTTAAAATCCAAATCTTTTGTGTTTGGGGGCAGAGTCTGCAGCTGGACTTCAGCCCTGGGCTTGAGGGTTGCAAAAAAATAAAATAAATAGTGGGAGCAGTACAAGTGTGCAAATGACTCGTTCCGGAAAGCAATGGGAATCCTTAGCATGATTTCTTGCCCAGTGAGGAAGTCATGCAATATCCAGGCTACAAAGTGAGCCAGTCTATAAGGAGGCAAATGTGGCTAGAGAATCAGCAGATATTAAAATGAATGGTGGGCTGCATTTATGCATTGCTTCCTAACTAGGGCAGGGGCCACTCATTGGGTGGGGGGTTACAATGGAGACGGCACAAACTTTCACGATACCAGTTTGTCCACAAATCCACCTCATATGCCAGCCTCTGGACTCAAAACCCAGAGGTCCAAGAGCTGAGGAATCTGCCTGAACCCCAAGTCACACATGCAGTGGAGCCACACTTGTCTCCTGTGAATGGGGGGGGACACTCTTTGGGAATCTGGCCGGGACGGGGAATGGTTGGCTGCAGCACCCTGTGCCAAAACAGTTTTCTTGCAAGTGGCAACCCAGATTTCCACGCAGCTGCTAGCGGAGGGCAGCACTAAGGAGACGAGGAGTCCAGCTGAATCGGTGCCACGGCCCATCTAGACCAGCCTCCTGTTCTCACAGTGGCCAGCCAGGGGGTAACCAGGATCCAACCACAAGAGCCCTCTCCCCTCCAGCTATCGCTGCTGAAGGGGCCTGCAGCCCAGGAAAGGTGATGGCATGGGGAAGCCATTAAGTATTTTGGGTGCCTTGAGATGGCCTCGCGAGAGATGCTGCAGTCCAGAGCAGCCTCCTTGGAGGCAGGACATTCAAGCTCTGGGCAGCTCCACGGAAAAAACTCTGGTAGCAGATGATTTTTTTTTGGGGGGGGAGGGGATTTCCATATCTCCCAGCAACCAGTCAGGCAAGATCCTGTGGTGCTCAGCTCACTCTGTCCTCTGGGGTTGGGATTTGAAGGCTGGGCGGGGGGGGGGGTTCCCTCCCTCCTGTGGGCAGATGGTGCCATTTTGCCCACCTAAGTATTGGCACTGGGATGGAATTCAGGCAAGGCTGATGGCCTGTGTGGCTACATTTACAGGCATGCATATATCTCTGTTTGCCTGGCTGCAAGAGCTCAGTTACTTAGACTCTGGTCCTGATAACGCCAAGGTTGCAAGTTCGATCACCGGTTGGGACAGCTGCATATTCCTGCCTTGCAGAGGGGTTGGGCTAGATGATCCTCAAGGTCCCTTCTACAACTCTTATTATTCTCTGAGTGTGGAGAAACACGCTGTGGCCCTGAAGCAGCTGGTCCCAGTTCACATCAGTTTATAGCACCATAAACCCATTAATCCCCAAGGCTTCAAAAAGTTGTTAACTGGCAGCACATTTGTAGCTGCACTCCCCAAACCGTAAGCGGCAGGGGACCAGTCAAAACCCTCCCTCCCAGCAGCTAAAAACATGTAAAGGCTTTGAGGGTTTTTCAAAACAATAAAGTGGCATATAACTTTTGCAAAATAACAATAAGTAAAATCCCAAGTGCAGATTCACCAGCAGCCCCTGGGAGCCGCTCTGAGCGCACAAACCCCTTTCATGTTGCCTTCATTTCTGACTCCAAGACCATCTCCCCTCCCCGCCCCGAACTCCAGAGGCGGCAGCGCATGGGAATGCCAAAGCAGCCCGAAGAGGCTTCTTGCCCCAGCCCAGCTCCTTTCCCGCAAGAGGCCACCGGCACGTCCAGCTTCACAGCTTTATTTCGCTAGAAAATTAGAAGTCAGATCCTGGAGGGAGAGCAGTCGAGGCCAGCTGCCCAGGAGTCAAAACACCTGAGGGGAGGAGGCGGGCACCGCGCCCGCCAAGAGCATGGCAGAGGCAGCCTGGCACTTTCGGAAGCTCAGTACTCCTCGGCCATCATGAGCACCACCAAGGCCGACCAGCCCGTGAAGGGGTAGCACCCTTGGCCCTTGCCCGTGCCGTCGTGATACTGCTCCCACACATAGCCGCTCTCCAGGTACTGCCGGTAGAGGTTGCCCACGACGTTGGCGCGCAGCTCCCGGTACAGGGCGGCCGCCTGCTCCCGAAAGGGCCCTCCAGCCGGCCGTAGTGTTGCAGAGCCCGCACAGCCAGGAAGTTGATGTTGACCCACACCGCGCCCCTCCAGTACGGGGGGTCGTGCTCCGTGTTGTGCTTGAGGTAGAAGGGGCTGGAGCGCGACAGCGAGCGCAGCCCAAAGGGCGTCCACAGCTTTTTCTCGCTGCGCAGGTCGGTCAGCAGGCTGCCCAGGCGCGGCGAGTCGGGGCGCAGCAGCTGCAGCAGCAGCGGGAAGAGGCTCACGTAGCCAAAAGCGCCCCCCACAAACTGCAGCCGGGGCGGCTTCCGCACCACCCGCAACAGGCGCGGCGTGGGCAGGGGCTGCCCCGGAGGAGGGGGGCGCAGCTTCTCGCGCTCCAGGGACGCTGCCTGCGTGTGGTTGCCGTAGTCGGCAAAGGTACCCAGCGCCTCGGCCCAGTGGTGCTGGTCCAGCAGCTGCCCGTCCGACAGCGCCTCCGCCATGCGCCGGTACTCCTCGGCCGGCTCCCCCAGCCGCGTGGCCACCTCCGCCATGACGCCCGAGGCCACGGCCATCCAGCAGCGCAGGTCCAGGTGGCGCTCGTCCTCCGAGGGGTGCGAGGCCCTGGGGTAGTCGTCCAGGCCAGAGGTGAGCGTCTTGGGGTTCAGGAACGCCTGGGTGTCCCGGTCGCGGCCGCGCCAGCGGAAGGTGAAGGGCAGGGGCCCGGCCTGCGTGCTGTTGTACCAGTCGTACCAGCTCTGCAGCCGCGGGTAGAGGCGCCGCAGGTAGTCCGTCTCTAGAGCTTCCTGCGCCAGCAGTTGCCGCAGCGCCAGGAAGAGTGTCGGGGGGTTTCCGGCACTGCTGTGCTGCACGACGAACTCCGTGGGCACCTTGGCGCGGGCCTCGGCGCCCAGGATCTGCTCCCGCGGGATCCAGCCTTCGGCGTTCATGAGGTCCAGCCAGTGCGCCAGCACATCTCGGCTGAGGGCTGCGTCCCAGCGGGCCAGCAGCAGCTGGTGGAAGCCCTCGTCCCACAGGAAGCCCCGGGGGAAGAAGGAGCGCGAGGGCACGGCCGTGAAGAGCGGCGCCTCTGGGTAGGGCTGGGGGAGCTCGGCGTGGGGCGACTGCACCAGCGAGCGCCCGTGGAAGTAGCCCATGCCGCCCAGCATGTTGCTGAGGGCGGCCCGCGCAAAACTCTGCTCCGGTGGGGAGAAGCCCTTGTGCGCCAGGCCAAAGGCTCCTCGAAGCGCCGCTCAAAGGCCGCCGTGTGCCGGCCCAGCTCCTGCGACAGAGCCTCGCCCGCCAGACGCCCGGCACGGTCGCCCGCGCTGCCAGACTCAAAGAGCACCTCCAGGCGGCAGGGCAGGGACACCGTCACCTGGTGCACCAGCAGCTGGCTGTGAGGGGGCGCCCGCTCCCCGGCCGGGGAGTGAGAGGCATCCACCCCAAAGTAGCGGCGCTTGGGGGCTCCTGGGGGGGCGAAGGTGAAGCGAGGGGTCAGGCTGGCTTTCACCACGTCGCTCAGGCGGTCCAGCCCCTCGGCCTTTGCCTGCAGGTGGTTGTAACTGGAGAGGGAGAAAGGGAGCGAGAATCAGCGCCAAGGACTACGGCTCTTCCTCCACGGTCAGAGGCAGCTATCTATCATCTATCTATCTATCTTTCTATCCATCCTCTCTCTCTCTCTAGCTATCTATCATCTATCTATCTATCTATCTATCTATCTATCTATCTATCTATCTATCTATCTATCATCTATCTATCATCTATCTATCTATCATCTATCTATCTATCTATCTATCTATCTATCTATCTATCATCTATCTATCTATCTATCTATCTATCTATCTATCTATCTATCA